AAGTTGCTTTATTCGATCCAGTGTTCAATGAACAGAAAGAAGCAATGAAAGCAGAATTTAAACCAATTCAAGTGGCAAGAATTTCTTCATCTTCACTTTCAGAAGCGTTCAAGGAATTGATAAAGAAACCACTTTATTCTCAACAAGGTTATAACTTCGATTTAATTAAAGAAAGTGATAGACGTAAATTAGAAAAATCAGATGGTTTTAAGAATGCATGTAATGAAATGATTAAAGATATTGTAAATGATAAAATAAGACTGGAAGAAACTCAAAGCATAATCAATAACATAATTGGTGCAGTTACAAAGAAAGTATAAGCAAACAATGATGAACCTTGGGATATTACCGTAACAACTAAATAAAACTTTAAATATATTTTTCTTTTTTTATTCGATTATAAATGAGAAGACGTTTCACTAGTCAAAAGAACACAAACGCAAAAGCAGAGATTACGGTTGGTTATAACGTAAATGATGATAAATCACGAATTATTCAAAATGTTAAAGTTAATGTTAGTCCTGAATTAACAAGGTCAGCAACTCAACCAAATTTATTAACTCGTGACTTACCGAAGAATGAGGAGGAGCAAAATAAAGAAGATGAACCCGTTGAAATCCCCACATATCCAACATACCCCCCACCTCTTTCATCAAACATTGAGAACCCAGGAATCTATGATTCCAGTCGCAATGTGCCATATAAAATAGACATTAATTCTGAATTAATGAAAATTTACCGTGATATAATAACTGATAATTATGATTCAATAATAAATTTAATTGATCAATCCGGTTTAATTATTTTACCTTATGAATCATTAATTCACATTATCGCCATTCTTTGTGATGTTCAAGATTCAGACGTTAAGATTCAATTTTTCATAGATGATGATGTTTCATGCTGCGGAACAGTTGCAAAAATAAATCCTATAAAGGATATTAGCACAATTAAGATATCAAAGAACGGAACAACAACTGAACTTCATTTAACTTATAATGATATTTATAATAAAATAGTTGATGAATATAAAATATCACTTGAAAAATTCTTTGTTAAGGCCATTTAATATTCAAGCATTAACATTAACGAATAATAATCCTTTGAATCATAATCGATAATAATTGACCTTTCACCAGTTTCTATCGTTTGTTTTATTTCTTTTTGTTCCCCATTATCTGGATCGGTCATTGTAATTGTTTTTGTTATAGTATCAGCTTTATCTTTAACTTCAATCTTTTTTCCATCGGGATATTTAAACCAAAATTCCAAAAATTCGATATTGTCAATCTGTTCATATTTTAATCTATCAATTACATTTTTAATACCATCTGAAAATCTTATGAAATGGTCATTATATGGGTTTGATTGAACTAAATTTGAATGAAGTGAAATATAACCCGATGATGAATATGACATTGACTCATATTTTCTGAAAACACTAAAATTTATAACATGAATGAATTTCTTATTCGTTGAATTTATGAATTCTTGAGGTAATCTTATTCTAGTTTTATTTATCACTGGAAAATAACGCTTTACCATATTTTTAATCGTAATAAAAATGTCAATTATCAATATTATTTCGAATAATAATTGTGAATTAAATTTAACGGTTAGTGGAATTTATAATGTTACTCTCGTTTCTGTGAGTGGTAAATTTAATCCCATTCTTTTAGACCCTTCAGATTATATATCATTTATTAAAGATGACCAAGAAAAAACGTATGATATGCATATAAATAATGTGATCACGAAATGGGATATTAACACGATTTTAAGTTATTTAAACGAATCATTTATCATATGGTATGAAGAAAATTTTAAATCAAAACCCGATAAACTTTTTGAACTTGATGAAATAAATAACCTTATTAAATTTCCGCTGAAAATTAAATTTTGTACTCCTCATCTTCGTTCATTGTTGGGGATATTAAATTTTGAAAAAGATGTTGGGGATGTTTTGTATTCTGACACTGGTTCCAATTTCATTTTAATCAAATGTGATAAAGTTAATACCCCAATGAGATTTTCACATCAAACATTAGACCCTAACTCTTACCCATCAATACAAAACATTTTATCCATCAACTTAAACATATTTTCTTTATCATATCCGTTTCAATTATCCGGGAATTCATTTATTCTTCATTCAAAAGATTTATCAAATATTAAATTTAGAGTAACTGACCTATTTGATTGTGATTTAGAATTCATGAATGAAATATTATGGCAATTTCAAATAGAAAAAATAGGTGATGAGATAACAGATTAAATATTTATTTTTAAATCATAATAAATGATTAAACAACAACAACCACGACAACTTAAGGCACAGACCATTACATACGCCTTATATGCATATAATTCAAAGACGGCAGAACAAACGCAAAGGTTGAAATATGGAGATTTGGAGATAGTATTGAAAAATGACCATTTCGAATTCGTTTGCAAGGGTGGTGCAGTGATATCAAATATAAAAGAAATTTTATTTATGAATTCAAAAATTAAAGGTATAACGGATGATATAACATCAATTCCACCAGAAGAACAAAGATATTACGCATTAAATGCATTTCCTAAAGTTTTGAAGATTGGAAGATTTAATTTAAATGAGGAATTCATAAAAGGTTTCCTAAATGACATAATGAAGAAGGCAGATAAGGAATATGTCAACAGTGAGTTAATGAAGAAGGCAAATAAGGAATATGTCAACAGTGAGTTAAATAAGAAGGCAGATAAGGAATATGTCAACAGTGAGTTAGAGGAGAAAGCAGATAAGGGACTTGTGGCTAGTGCATTAATGAAGAAGGCAGATAAGGAATATGTTAATGAAAAAGATAATGAAATTAAAGAAATGGTTGGATGGTATCATGAATGGACATCAAAGATTTTAAAAACTAAAGCTGATACGGGATGGGTTTCAGAATGTTTAGACCTTAAAGCAGATAAAACTTATGTTAACAATGAGTTAATGAAGAAAGCAGATAAAGAATATGTGAATGAAATATACCAAAGTTTGATAGGAACAACTAAAAATATTGAAACTATTGCTGGTGACTTTTCCGTCTATGAAGAAAATAAATATTTTAGAGGCAATTTGGTAATTCCTTAAAAAATGGTATGCGGTGTAAACTCATTCCGAAAAATAACAATGAAATGTATGTAAGTTATAAAAAGAATGATGACACACAAGTTAAAGTTCCATTAGACAACAACTGTTACTTAAACTTATATGGAGACGAACAAAAGAAATATTTAAGAGTTTATGAAATGACGGATATGACATTGTCTAACGTAGCTCCAGCACCGTATTATTTCGACTATGGAGATGATGTCAGAACGCCGCATGTAGATGAACAAAAGCAAACATTATATTTAGATTATTATAGATATAAAAGATATAATGCAATAGAAAAAACGAGAATAGTATATTATTATATAGATGACAAAAATAAATATTATAGTCAAGATTTTACATACCCTGAAAACATAAGATTATATTATAAAAAATATTCTGACACGAACCAGAAGAAACCCGAAATAGTTACACTATATTTTAAGTTCAAAAGAGACAATCCTATATTATCTCATATGTTTGATTTAATGAACCCAGTGGGTTCTATTTATACATCTATGGATGCAAGAGGTCCTCAAGCAATGTTTGGTGTTGGTGCATGGGAACAAATAGTCGACAGGTTTTTGTATTGTGCAAACTCTTCAAAGGAAATGGGTGGAAGTAAAACGATTACAGGTGAAAATTTACCTGCACACAGTCACTACATAGATTTAAGCACATCTCAAGCTGGTTGGCATAAGCATAGATATTGGGATTGGTCAGGAATGACAAAAGGTAAAGGATATGATGTTAAAGATGACGTTAAGTTTGCCATAAATTGTTACTGGAGCGACACTCAGGGAGAAGGAAACCATACACATCACGTTTCAGGATATACACAAACAACGGGACAAAGTAAAGAATACATGCCACCATTTATGACTGTATTCGCGTGGTACCGCATTTATTGAATGAACTAAATATATTTTATGTCTGTAATTAATTAGGTAATGAAGTAGTGGATGAACTGCAGAAATATATTTTATCGTTAATGTTTACGTCAATGGTTTCAGGTTATTCAATAATTATTTATTTTTGAAGAACTGAAGGTGCTACCATGTTACCATGTGCTACCAGGTAATTTAACTTCTATGAAAAAGTGTGACAACATGACATTTTGACAACATCACAGGAGGAAGGCAGTTATGATTTATTTTTGAAGAACTGAAGGTGCTACCATGTTACCATGTGCTACCAGGTCATTTAACTTCTATGAAAAAATGTGACAACATGACATTTTGACAACATCACAGGAGGAAGGCAGTTATGATTTATTTTTGAAGAACTGAAGGTGCTACCATGTTACCATGTGCTACCAGGTAATTTAACTTCTATGAAAAAGTGTGACAACATGACATTTTGACAACATTTACGAAAATATGATGCAGTCCAAAAATAAAGTTAGTTTTAAAATTATTTTTATTTTTTTATTCCTATATAAATGACAGCAACAAACAACAGCAACAGCAACAGCAACAGCAACAGCAACTTTATCATTTCTGATGAAAAAGTTATTGATTCATTAGTTGAGGAATTAGTTATGACAGAAACTAAAACCCTCAACGAAAGAATTGGTGAAAACAAGATTGATTTACATAACTACCTCAAATACGATGGAGGAAGAGGAAGGAAAACTGGTATGGCTTTATTAGTAAATAAAATATCAAATTTAACGATTATAGATGTTGATATCAATAAATCATACAATGATGAACTTAAAGAAACAGTTAGAAAAGACATTTTATCAAAACTTTCGGATAAAGATGTTATCGTTAAAACTGCATCAGGAGGTCTTCACATTTATTGCAACACTAATTTCTTCTATTCAACCTCGAACAGAATGATTAAATGTTATTCCTGCAATGATTATGATATTGATATCATGACTTCTATTGATGATTCAAAGCGTTCATTAGTAGTTATGGCTGATTCAAGAGTTCGCAAGAATGCAACAGAACCAATCAATACATACTCATTCATTCGTGGAAGTTATGATTCAACATTAACCAGAACAGTGAATGATATATTAAATGATTTGAATATTAAGGTAAGAGTTGAACAGAAGAATGAAGAAATAAAGACTATCATGAATGAAAACAAAGATGTAAACATTGACGATAAACTAGCTCAAAGCATAGTTGATGGCATCTGTGATTTTGAAGTACATAATGACGGTGGAAACATGAATTTAGAAAAAGAAATAACATTATTCACACTGTTTCAAGCTATTAATTCGTTACCTAATCATTTAATTAATGAAGCATACGATAACGTTTATAATTTCTGCAATTTAACTGAAAATGCAAAAAGTAATTTTGAAAATGCACGTAGTAGATATGCACATTTAATGACTTCTCCATTTGTTTTAGTGAAGATTCTAAAACTTTATCAAAAGGAATATTATGATGAATACGTTTTACCTTTATTACGTAAGCCAAAAATAACATTTGATATAAAACTTGATGACTCGTTTTTGATAACAGATATTAGACGCAAGGCTGAAAATCATCAGTATAAAAACAGTTCTGAAGTAATTGAGGATTTATCACGTGTAATCCGTTTTGTAGATTGTGGAAACAAATATTTCATTCAAAAGGACTATAATATTCACGATAAAATGAATCAAATATCATTCGTTCTTCAATCAAACATGAAAGAGTCACTTAAAATGATTAAATTATTTAAAGAAGAAGGTAAAACAATAACAGCATGGGATGTACTACTAAATCAATTGTCTTCATTAACCGTTAAGGGTGTTTGCTTTAAATCTGATTCTCCAGATGTTTTCTCAACGTTTCAGGGTTATAAATACAACGTTCTCGAAAAGCTTGATTACTCAAAAATTGAGATGTTTATGAATTTCATTAAAGAAGTCATTTGTGATAATAACGATGAAGTGTATAAATACCTTCTCGGCTGGATTGCATCAATGATTCAACATCCTGGAATCAAGAATGAAACAGCAATTATTTTGAAAGGACTTCAGGGAACAGGTAAAAACAGATTTACAGATATTATTTCTGAACTTCTCGCTGGTTATTCATGTAAAAACATTACTGAAATAAGTGAGCTAACGGGTAATTTCAATTCGGTTGTTGAAAATAAAATGTTTCTTGTACTTAATGAACTCAAGAATGTAGGTGAAGACAGACTCGCAAACTTCAACGCTTTGAAATCAATTATAACGGATAATGAGATTAGAATTAATGAAAAGAATCAACCCAGAAGAACAGCACAGAATGTTGCAAACTTTATTTTCGTAACTAACAACGTCTACCCTGTCAAAATTGAAGTTGGAGACAGAAGATATGTAGTTTTAAGAGTTAATGGTAAATTTAAGGGTCAATTTGATTACTTCAAGAATTTGATGGATTCATGCACTAAGGAATTTTATGATAACCTTTTAACATATTTTATCAATTATGACCTTTCATCATTTAATGTACGAATCATACCGATGACTGAAGCCAAACAAGATTTAATCGAGTTATCAACAAATCCTTTAGATGTATGGATAAATACACATTATTCTTATATACGAAAAAAAGAGATCTGACATTGTGTCAGATCTCAGTAAAAGTGACATTTACATGTCAAAAAAATAGAATGAGTTTAAGTAATTAAAATTGAGGGTGAGAGTAGTATTGTATGAAATAATATCTCTCACCCTCCAATTCATCCTATGGCGCCGAAAAAATTTTGGTGAAATGCGACCACATTTCACCAAAATTTCTCGGCGCCATATAGAGAACTAGAGCCTGTGAGGTACTGATACTATCCATGTACCTCGCAGGCTCTAGTTCCAAGCCAAAATGGCTAAAAATTGCCCGCAATTGTTCACATTGCGGGCAATTTTTAGCCATTTTGGCTGGGAATTGGAGGGTGAGAGTAGTATTGTATGAAATAATATCTCTCACCCTCCAATTCATCCTATGGCGCCGAAAAATTTTGGTGAAATGCGACCACATTTCACCAAAATTTCTCGGCGCCATATAGAGAACTAGAGCCTGTGAGGTACTGATACTATCCATGTACCTCGCAGGCTCTAGTTCCAAGCCAAAATGGCTAAAAATTGCCCGCAATTGTTCACATTGCGGGCAATTTTTAGCCATTTTGGCTGGGAATTGGAGGGTGAGAGTAGTATTGTATGAAATAATATCTCTCACCCTCCAATTCATCCTATGGCGCCGAAAAAATTTTGGTGAAATGCGACCACATTTCACCAAAATTTCTCGGCGCCATATAGAGAACTAGAGCCTGTGAGGTACTGATACTATCCATGTACCTCGCAGGCTCTAGTTCCAAGCCAAAATGGCTAAAAATTGCCCGCAATTGTTCACATTGCGGGCAATTTTTAGCCATTTTGGCTGGGAATTGGAGGGTGAGAGTAGTATTGTATGAAATAATATCTCTCACCCTCCAATTCATCCTATGGCGCCGAAAAAATTTTGGTGAAATGCGACCACATTTCACCAAAATTTCTCGGCGCCATATAGAGAACTAGAGCCTGTGAGGTACTGATACTATCCATGTACCTCGCAGGCTCTAGTTCCAAGCCAAAATGGCTAAAAATTGCCCGCAATTGTTCACATTGCGGGCAATTTTTAGCCATTTTGGCTGGGAATTGGAGGGTGAGAGTAGTATTGTATGAAATAATATCTCTCACCCTCCAATTCATCCTATGGCGCCGAAAAAATTTTGGTGAAATGCGACCACATTTCACCAAAATTTCTCGGCGCCATATAGAGAACTAGAGCCTGTGAGGTACTGATACTATCCATGTACCTCGCAGGCTCTAGTTCCAAGCCAAAATGGCTAAAAATTGCCCGCAATTGTTCACATTCCCATCTTTTGTTGGTAAGACGAAGAATATGAAATAAATTATGAAGAAGATAATGATGAATAAAATATCACTTTTTATATTTTTGACACGTAAAGTTGTCACTTTTCTGTCAAACCGTTTTTATCGTTTTCGTATATAACATTATGATGAATTGTGTGCAGGTATGACGTGTGAAAATGCTCTATTCTGCAAACCATCAGACATGAAAGACAAAAACTTTCAAATGAGCATTAAGGATAAATGTGATAGGAAACATAGAAGAATAGACGGTAAACAAACATGGTGTTATGTTTTGAAAGAAGAAATGAAAGGATTATATAAACAGGTTGAACAAAACGATAATGATGATTCATTTACTGACGATGAAATACCTGTAAATGAAGCTTTATAAAGTATGATTGGAATTTATTTTTGCATTAATCCTCCTGTGTTGTTGTCAAAATGTCATGTTGTCACATTTTTTCATAGAAGTTAAATGACCTGGTAGCACATGGTAACATGGTAGCACCTTCAGTTCTTCAAAAATAAATCATTATTGAATAACCTGTGATGTTGTCAAAATGTCATGAGTTAAATGACCTGGTAACATGGTAGCACCTTCAGTTCTTCAAAAATAAATCATAACTGCCTTCCTCCTGTGATGTTGTCAAAATGTCATGTTGTCACATTTTTTCATAGAAGTTAAATGACCTGGTAGCACATGGTAACATGGTAGCACCTTCAGTTCTTCAAAAATAAATCATTATTGAATAACCTGTGATGTTGTCAAAATGTCATGAGTTAAATGACCTGGTAACATGGTAGCACCTTCAGTTCTTCAAAAATAAATCATAACTGCCTTCCTCCTGTGATGTTGTCAAAATGTCATGTTGTCACATTTTTTCATAGAAGTTAAATGACCTGGTAGCACATGGTAACATGGTAGCACCTTCAGTTCTTCAAAAATAAATCATTATTGAATAACCTGTGATGTTGTCAAAATGTCATGAGTTAAATGACCTGGTAACATGGTAGCACCTTCAGTTCTTCAAAAATAAATCATAACTGCCTTCCTCCTGTGTTGTTGTCAAAATGTCATGTTGTCACATTTTTTCATAGAAGTTAAATGACCTGGTAGCACATGGTAACATGGTAGCACCTTCAGTTCTTCAAAAATAAATCATTATTGAATAACCTGTGATGTTGTCAAAATGTCATGAGTTAAATGACCTGGTAACATGGTAGCACCTTCAGTTCTTCAAAAATAAATCATAACTGCCTTCCTCCTGTGTTGTTGTCAAAATGTCATGTTGTCACATTTTTTCATAGAAGTTAAATGACCTGGTAGCACATGGTAACATGGTAGCACCTTCAGTTCTTCAAAAATAAATCATTATTGAATAACCTGTGATGTTGTCAAAATGTCATGAGTTAAATGACCTGGTAACATGGTAGCACCTTCAGTTCTTCAAAAATAAATCATAACTGCCTTCCTCCTGTGATGTTGTCAAAATGTCATGTTGTCACATTTTTTCATAGAAGTTAAATGACCTGGTAGCACATGGTAACATGGTAGCACCTTCAGTTCTTCAAAAATAAATCATTATTGAATAACCTGTGATGTTGTCAAAATGTCATGAGTTAAATGACCTGGTAACATGGTAGCACCTTCAGTTCTTCAAAAATAAATCATAACTGCCTTCCTCCTGTGATGTTGTCAAAATGTCATGTTGTCACATTTTTTCATAGAAGTTAAATGACCTGGTAGCACATGGTAACATGGTAGCACCTTCAGTTCTTCAAAAATAAATCATTATTGAATAACCTGTGATGTTGTCAAAATGTCATGAGTTAAATGACCTGGTAACATGGTAGCACCTTCAGTTCTTCAAAAATAAATCATAACTGCCTTCCTCCTGTGATGTTGTCAAAATGTCATGTTGTCACATTTTTTCATAGAAGTTAAATGACCTGGTAGCACATGGTAACATGGTAGCACCTTCAGTTCTTCAAAAATAAATCATTATTGAATAACCTAAAAACATTAACGAAACCATGACGAAACCATGACAAAGCATTCACGCTCATGTTTGACAAAAGCATTAACGATGAAACCATGACAAAGCATTCACGCTCATGTTTGACAAAAGCATTAACGATGAAACCTTGACAAAAGCATTAACGATGAAACCTTGACAAAAGCATTAACGATGAAACCATGACAAAAGCATTCACGCTCATGTTTGACAAAGTCATTAACGATGAAACCTTGACAAAAGCATTAACGATGAAACCATGACAAAAGCATTCACGCTCATGTTTGACAAAGTCATTAACGATGAAACCTTGACAAAAGCATTAACGATGAAACCATGACAAAAGCATTCACGCTCATGTTTGACAAAGTCATTAACGATGAAATCATGACAAAAGCATTAACGATGAAACCATGACAAAAGCATTAACGCTCATGTTTGACAAAAGCATTAACGATGAAACCATGACAAAAGCATTAACGCTCATGTTTGACAAAAGCATTAACGATGAAACCATGACAAAAGCATTAACGATGAAACCATGACAAAGCATTCACGCTCATGTTTGACGAAGTCATTAACGATGAAATCATTAACGTAAACAAATCATTTCCTGTGATGTTGTCAAAATGTCATGTTGTCACATTTTTTCATAGAAGTTAAATTACCTGGTAGCACATGGTAACATGGTAGCACCTTCAGTTCTTCAAAAATAAATCATAACTGCCTTCCTCCTGTGTTGTTGTCAAAATGTCATGTTGTCACAAACTTTAGAACGGCATAATTTAAATTTTTATTTTTATCATAAATGAATACCCCACAAGCTCAAAATTTACCACGAATCATAACAAGGGAGGAAATGATAAAAATGATGCAAGAACATGTTAAAAATAACAAACCACTAAAATTGAGAAAATGTGGTTATGCAGTAATGATGGAAAGAGAGATGTTGTCAAAGAGGAATAAAAATTAAATTTGGATTGAGTTTAAAAATTCATCTTTATTAAATTCATCTCTTCCAATCAATTTATTTATTCTATTAAATTCTTTTATTTTTGCTTCACTCAGTTTAAGGATTGAACGGTAAGTTTCTAATTTTTCGATTATTTCTTCATCGTTTTCAACCTCACCACATTGCGGCTTCTTTTTGTAATAGCATATTTTTGATTTAATTCTGTTTAGTTTCTTTTTATATTCATCGTCTGGACTCTGAATCTTAATTGAATCAGGACTCTTGACTGCTTCGTTGTCACTCATTTTCTTACGAAATAAAAAAATTAAATATTATTTAAATATAATGGAGTAATAAAATAAATCGGAATTTCTATTAATTTATTGTCAACTTCAACTAATGCATTGCCGTTAATATATCTAACAAATTCAGCTATTGTGTCAAATCTTCGTCTTCTTTTTGCCATTGATTTATCAGTTTTTCCATAATCGAGATGAATTAAAACTTTATTCCCTTGTTTAAAATTCATGAGCCCCGAATTAATTTGTTCACGTTTAACATCATTTAACTTTTCCATTTGCTTTCTAATATATTCCCATTCTTTTGAAATATCATTTTTCATTTCCACCGGTTTCATGTTTATAGTTCTATGCCATGTATTATTGTAATAATATACTAACTGCTGTATGATGGAGTCATGATTTCCATCCCAGTATATCTGACCGTTAACCCCTAACGCATCTCTAAGAGTTCTCATTACCGCATCAACTATTTTATTATGAAACGTATATGGAGAGGATGAAAAGTAAAAATTAATTTGTGGGAAATAATGAGTCATAGCTGCCTGAAATCCTTTATCACCATCACCCCTGATATTATCTACTCTTTCATGATCTAGTAAGTATTGAATAGCTCTTCTTGTTTCCTGTTCTGTTTTCCCTTTCACTGGAATGCAATATAAATATCTAGTGTTAATGTTAATGGCAAATAAATAAGTAACGTTTCCTTTTGAATATTCCAGATGATCGATTTCGTATGAATATGGATATGGAGCAAATGAGGGGCGACTAAATTTTTCCTTTAATGGTTGAATTTTTGGGTCAATTGGTTTATTTAATATCTTGAAATCCTTTTTAAAATCTTTTTGCTTCTTTAATGTTTGAAATGGATATAATAAAGTGAATGATGAAGGATTAACTGAAGGAGGAGGCGGTACTGTCGTTGGAGGTTTAATTTTATCTGCTTTGATTTTGGATGATGAAGTTTTGGAATTCATTCCTCCTTTCATTAATTCTGGATGTATTTTATTCATTTGTTTTAAATATGCTGTATATAAAGGTTTGATATACTTTCCCGCTTCGAGTTTATGTTGAAGGATGAATTCCAAAAGTTGATCTTCATTTAAAAGTCGGGCTGAATATGGTTTAACTAATGAATCATAAATTAAAGCTTGTGCATCATTTATGGTCTGAAGGACATGGGTGTTTTGTGGCTCAGGATTATATAATTTATATAACCCATCAATATCTTCTTCTGTTAATACTTTATTTTTGAAATCTTTCATCACTTCCAATATATTTATATTTCAATTTTGATTTATTGGTTTCATATTCATTAACGTTTAATAATTCACAGTCTTCCTTTTTAAATAAATGTTTTATGTATTCAGGATTAAGAATTCTATAATATTGCTTCCCTTTAAATCTTTGAATATAAACAGGAACACCATCCTCTAAAATTCGATAATCTATTTTATCTGGTTTTACTTGTTGGGTCATTTATGTAAGAATAAAAAATAAATTATTTTAAAATTAATGTTAAAAATAATGATACAAAATCGTTCAATTATGTGAGAATTCTTACGTTTACAAAAAATGTCACATAACCCATCCTATACTACTACTTTTTAAGAAAGACTTATTAAATCATAATTATACACTGATTGATATTTTCATAGTCATTTTGGACTTATTGAACACATATATTGGTAAGACCTCAATGATTGCTGACAAGATTCAAACGTAATTTTTCATTTGATATAAATTTTTCTTCAAAATCCATGCACACATCAACAATAAAGGTCATAAAGAAAGATATTCTTCATTATTATGAACAATTCTTTCATCTATATTTCATTAGTAGCATTTTAAGAAAAAAAATACATAACAATATTCTTAGAATCATCTCTATATTTAAATACAAACAAATAAAGCATAAAAACAAGAATAAATCTTAAAATGGATTAGAAAGAGAAGAGAAATCAAAATTGAAATCTTCAAATAGTGGTAAGTTGCACTCTTCCTCAATTGGCATTGGCTCAGAAGGCTTATCAAGAGAGTCGCTATTGATCAAAGGTGTTTCTGGATGAACGAATCTTGTAAGAAAACAAAATTTAGCATTATCAGAAACAGCACGAACACTCCATTGCTTCATATATGTATTTCCAGTGAGAGTTGGCATTGTAATTCCTAAAACTTGGCGGCAAATTTTCTTATCTTTAACGGCATAAAAACCTATTTGCTGTAATCCAGCGTTTATTGACGATTTTGATCTGCCTATAAAGTTGCTGAGCAATTTTGTATTTGTACAAACGAAAGGACCGACAAAAGAGATGCCAATTATCTTACATTTGCTTGAGCGCTTAGACATATCTTTATCTATATATGAAAGAAGAATAAATAACTCTCTTCTGAAAACTTCAGATCGAATATCTTTTCCATATGGCTTTTTATATGTAGAAAAGTAGTTTTTAAGGGAAAAGAATTCTCTTTGATCTAATTGGGAGAGAGTTTCCCATGGGTTATCACCAGAAACACTCTCCACCATATTTATGAAAAAAAATTCTTTTTGTGTCTAAATTCATTTGTTGCTCATTATTACTCAGAACTCAAAAACACATCCAATTGTATATACAACGCTGCGTTATTGCTGACTTTTGACAATATTTGATGTTGATTTAGGAGGCAAATCAAGGCATGGTATAAAAAACTATTATAGTTTTGAAGATTACAACAAAATAGAATGAATGATTTTATGAATAGAACAAACATTTAATTTTTATTAATTAATGTACTAATAAAATTGAGTAAATATGTTTTGATTTGCTTCTTCAAAGAGAGTAAGTAAATTCTATCTATATCTCTTTTCGTTACTGAAGAACGTGATTCAACAATTTTTGCTGCTTCTTCAATGGCAGCTTTGGTAATCTGAGATTTATTTTGAGCAATATATTGAGAAATCGAACTTTTATCAATTGCTTGTATTTCGGCTAGTCTTTGTCTTAAAGAAACTTTTTCATCGCGTAATCTTTGATATTGAACATTATATTGCTCGATTGATTTTTTAACTTTCGCTTCTCCAGTAAGTGATTGGATTTTCAACTGTTGATCTAATATTTCAGACTCTTTTACCATTGATTCAATTGAAGAAATCAGAGTTTCATCATCTAAAGTATAAAGACTTATATTTTGATCAATTGCAAGACCTTCTACCATGGTTTTTATTTCGTCAAATTTCTCTTGCATCTCGATCATCAAATCATCAGTCATTTTTATGATTTTAACATTCAGACAAATATCATCTATGTGTAATCGTATTTAACATTTTCAATCCAAAATATATGATGAGCCTTAATCGAATATTGATGACATATGAAAATAGATGTTCAAGCTTAATGAATCAAAATTTGAAATTGAATACAGCTAATCATGATATAACCATATTGAAATACTTATTTTTGATGTATTTCATTGATATTTTTCTAATTTTTTATGGAAAATGGATGGAAATGCTTATAATTACATATGCCTTTCAAATCTTATCTCATATGCATTTTATAAATGCGAATACTAGCCAGTGAATAAAAAAGATCGTTACACTGGGAAAATAAATTCAAATAAACTCAATCTTTTCAATGTCAATTTTCAATTTATTGCCCCTTTTTTAATTCAAAAAATTAGATGTCTTCAACAGTCATCCGTGACTGCTGGAACCAAGGCCTGAAACCCGAAGAATTTGTTGAAGTAGTTGTAAAGAACCATATGGATAGCTTTGAAAGCATTGTACAAAATTTAGCAATCATATGCGGTGTTTCTCAAGAAGAAATGGTATTAATATATGAATATTTAGCATGCCTATTTCAGAAGTATTCAAATAAAACATCTACAGCTATTGATTTAAATAATCGCGATCAAACATTTGGTTGTATCTTGACTTTCTCAAAGTTTGGTGAAAAAATATTCAATCCAGACATTATAGATTCCATTGACTCATGCAAAACAGCTCTAAGAATACTAGAAATCACGTTAACATGCCATGATAATAATTTATTAGGACTTTCTCTTACGAAAATCTCACAATCTCATTATCTACCAGTATGTGTTGCCGCATCAAGAGTACTATGTCCTGAATGCTTTCAAATTATTCAATCAAAATTCGAAAATTTAAAAAGTAATTTCGATATAAAATGCATAAAAAATCATTTAGAAGTAAATCTAGTTTCATCAATATCAAACGATGCTCCACACCCAAGTCCAAAAATGTTCTTTTCTGATCATGTTATCAGTGTATTTTTTATTTTATTTCATACAATGTTTAGCAAACTATATTTACTTCGATTACATAATCTATCTGTTATGGGGTTCATTTATATTACTCTTTTGGACTCTTTCGTTAGTTCTCCTCAACTTACAAAAGTTTATTGCTTAACTTGCGTTTTAGTACCAGTTTTACACGCTAAAATGCATAATGAGATGGATAATTACAATGACTCGCCACAGGATTTCGATATTGACAAATTTATTGAGGTTATGAATAATATTCCCGACGATTATTTCAAAAAATACAATATTTCAAAGAAAGAACATATAGAAGAATTTTGTAAGCCGTATTCAACTAACACAGGTAATTATTTAAAGGAGGTTTTGCAATTTCCATCATTAATTTCTCAAATTCTGCCGCATTATAAAGAAATGATACTTTCTGATAATCTAGATTTAATTAAGCGTGCAAGTACAGAGATTATTGCTAATAATAGTGATTTTTGCTTCATTTTGTATTCGACCAACAAAATTGAATCATTTTTAACGATATTATTGAACAAATTAGAACATATAACAGATCTTAGTGTTTTTACTGAATTGTTTTTCTGTATTGTGTCTATAATTAGCGAAATTTGGAGATCTGGTGACAGTACGAATCGAAAAATCATTGAAACCATTGTTACTTCATCATCAAATCCATCTCATACATTATTTAGCTTGTTTTTGCATATTTCCTCTGTTGATCCAGAAATGATGAATTATGCAACGATTCAAAACATTTATAATGCTCCATCCCATATTGAACGATGTTGCTCTTTCTTCCATTACCTTTATTTCATCGGAATCCAGAATTTGGAGACACTTTTTGATTTATTACAACAATATCCTTATTTATGGATTTCTGTTTTTGCATGGGGCTTCCAAACAAATTCTAAGGACTCATTGAAGATATTTAAGATCAAGTTCCCTAATTATCCAATTTTTTCGAACTTATTTTCTCAATTAATTATTAGAGTGAGCGATGACAAGAAATTTGCATTAACTGACTATGCAGACTTTGATACATTAATACAACAACCACAGAAATTGAATCTGGAAATAGAAAATTACTTGAATTATATTTTCGGAAAATCTCAAGCCTTTTTACAGTATCCAGCGTCAGTTTTTGGCAATTTTATTATGTGTTGTCATTGTTTTTCTGCAATGAATCGAGAAAAAGAGCTTGTTTTGTTAATTTTTGATATTGTCTCAAAAGTTCCTGATGTTTATGGCAACGAAGAGATACTAGAAATGATGATTGGAATTATCTCATCAACAATGTCCTTAGTTTTCAACGGAAATTCAGAAAAAGCCTTCATTGTTATTCAATCCCTTCTAGAATTCCTTTCTAATAATGAAACAGGCATCAGAGAGGTTAAGCTAATTGTTTCTTTCTGCAATGGAATGATTACAAGCATGAAAGAAGGATTTGAAGAAAGAATAAGATATGTAGTAGATTTTTGCCAAAGTGTTATCGAAGGGACAAATAAATCCCAGAAAATTAGCATTTTTGCTTATTATTTCATGAAAGTTGTCATATATATTAAGCCAATAAGGGATTTGATACCAATTTCCGCTTTCCACATCTTTAATTTGAATGGAGATCTCAAGGCTTCTATTGATTTCTTTAAGATGAAAGCTGATTCTCATGATAATTTGATTTGTTTGTAATTTTTAAATTTTTTTCTAATAATTGTTTCTAAATATATTACTTGAATACTAACTTTAATTAATTTCAAAAAATCCTTCTAGTTTCTATTTCGATATAAAAATCTTGAATTTGTCAAGCCTGCCATGCATATATTGAATTTGAAATTGTTTATATTACATACCATAAAAATGCTATTTGTCAAGCGTGCCATACATAAATTTGAAATCTTTTTATTTGAAAAAAATAAAAAAGTAGCGGCGGAAGGATTTGAACCTTCGTCTTCAGCTTTGAAGAGTACTGTATATAGGAGAAAAATTATAACGACTCTCTACCATTGAGGTACACCGCTTTTGCATAAATATAGGTTATATATATTATATAATATAAATTTGACACTTTTGACATGTAAACTCCTTAACGTCTGGATTTTGATTTCAAAAAAAATTTTTTTTCTCGTTAGAATATGTTTGGGCAAGAATCGGAGGCTTACCAACGATTCAGAGCTCAACAGAAAGCTCAATATGCTGCAGATCTAAAGAAACAAATTGAAGAACAAGCGAAAAAAGATGTTCGGCAAACAGTTGTCAATCAAATTCTTCAAAATCCAAAAGCACCTATAAGACAAATACAAATCTTACAGAGAAACAGATACAATCCTTCACTTGCAGATGCTCCAATAGAAAAGAAAGAGATTCCTGTTTCAATTCAAAAAATTCCGGAATCTTATAACGTTCAAAACGAAGAACCTCCTTCAGCCAGAAGATATCAAGAGCTATCGCCACGAAAAGACATTCCACCGCCCGTTTTACCAAATAATGACTCAGCAATTCAAAATTTACAACTTTCAATTGATAGAATCGTTTCAATAGACCTTCCTAATAGAATTAAACCATGCGAAGATGCTATATCCAATCTAAATATGAAAATTGAAAGATCGATAACATCAAATTCCGATCAAATTCAAAATCTAAAAGATAAATTTTCAGAAATTTCTCTTTCAATTAACAGTTTATCACGAAAAATCAACGACAATTCGGATAAAATTCGCTATGCAATTACAGAAATACAGCAAGACAATCAAAAATTACGAGATACTTTATCATCAACAAATTCACGTGTACAAAACTTAGAAAGTTACATGAGCAAGCTTGAAGAAGCATTTAATACTATATCTATGCGTCAAGGCATGCTAGAACAGTCTGTATCCCAGTCAATTGAAAAATTGCAGCAAACAATTACAAGTATTTCAACGTCTTCTCAAGCAGGTGATCAACATATTATGTCACAATTAGAATCTCTTAACAAACAAACGATAAATGCCTTTCTACAAGCGAATAACAACATTCAAACCCTTTCAAATTCAATTTCTTCGCTCACAAACGATGTAAAGTCATCATTTACCATTGTAAGAAAAGAATTTGATGACGCTCTTGTCGATATGACGCAAAAAACTCAAAATGCGACACTTGAAAACGCTCAAGCCTCCCAAACATTGCAGGATGAGGTTGTTGATACGTTTGTTTCTCTCCAAGGTGTCATAGAGAAGTCGAATAAGGCCATGGAAGAGGCTCTTCAAAGGGAATATGATGCAAGACAAAATGATAATTCAACTTTTCTTGAGGCGAACGAAATATTTACCACAGCCGTGGCAGCGCAATTAACTAACCTTGGAAAAGCAATAGAAAGAACTAACAATAACATTAAAACTTCAGTTGAAACTGGATGCGCTCTTCATTTGGGAACTTGGAGGAATGATATGAATAAATTTATTAATGATACCGCTACAAGTGTCACAGAATGCCAAGGAAAAATGAAAGAAGTTGAAAAGAGAATGGCAAAAGTATCAAATGATAATAATTTGAATAAAAGAGTTGAAAAACTTGAAAATATGATTGACCAATACGAATCATTAATAAAGGAACTACAAAACGATCTTAAAATGCAAAAACAAAATCAAGTTCAAAATCAAATCCAAAATTCGAACCATCCTCCTTCGAAATCGCATCCCCCGCCAGCAGTAGTTACAAACATACCTCTTTCTCAGTTAATTGACGCTGTAAAACAAAAACCAAAATCTCCTTCACCTCAAAATCAACAAAACCAAGCGTCAAACAATAAAAATGCTTTGCTAAAGCAGGTGGTTAGTGAATTGAATCAAAATAATGAAAACGAACCTCAAAATAATTTAAATAATTTGGAAAAAATGGTTAAAGACCAAATCGTTACAGAAAAGCCAGTTGAACCTAGTACTAAAAAGCCAGTTACGTCAAAGCCATCAAAGAAATTAGAGCCTGTAATTCCAGAATTCCCAATTAATTTAGAAAAACAAGAAAATTCTGAAGAAGAGTCTTACGAGGAAGATGATAACAGTGATTTGACTGATATCAAATTCCAATCACAAGGAGAATCATTAAGTCGCGTTGATTTCCTTGATCGAAATAATTATTTGTAAAAAAAATTCTTTTTGTTTGTTTATGAAAAAAAATTAATCATATTTATTATTTTTATTGGGCATCAAATAAATTATCTTGAGAAAAGAAGATTTTTATATGATCAATTCTAATAATCTTTCTATGATAACTTCTTATGATGTTTCCATTACAATCATCTTATCAAACTGTTTGCAAAGAGAAATTGTTGGTCTACGATTAACTTAATATAAAAAATAATTAATAAAGTTTAAAATAGGTTTATTTTAAATGATTTAGGCAGAAATAAAAGCTCATTGGCTTGATTTTAATTAAAAATCGAAGGAATATTATTATATTTGTTATGTTTTAATTTGCATCAGATAATCTTTTACATTTTCTTTAGCAACAGAATCAGGAGTGTTTCCGTCATTGTTCTTTGCTTTTGTATCAGCACCAACAGAGATTAAATATTTAACTACTTCGAGTTGACCTTCTTCTGAAGCCAAAAATAGAGCAGTATTTCCATCGTCGTTCTTCGCTTCTTTATTACATTTAATAGATATTAGATAATGTACTGTTTCAAGACGACCAAACTTGCAAGCCATCATGAGAACAGTATTACCGTAATTATTCTTTGCTTCTTTATCTGATCCAGCGGAGATAAGACATTCGACTACTTCAAGATTGCCACACATTGATGCGACAATAAGTGGAGTATTTCCATAATTATTCTTTTCTTCTAAATCATATCCGATAAAAAGAAGATGTTTTACAACTTCAAGTTGACCTCTTGATATTGCCCAAATAAGCGAAGTGTTTTCATAGATAGTTTTAGCATTCTTATCGGCTCCAGCATCGAGAAGATATTTAACAACATCAAGTTTTCCTTCTCGTGATGCAAGAATAAGAGGTGTAAATCCATCATTGTTCTTTGTTTCAATATTACAGCCACATTCAATAAGAGATTTAACAAGTCTTAGATTTCCTTTTTTAGCAGTTTTTAGAAGAATATTATTTCCAGAATCATTTTTCATTTCCCAAAGTCCTTCTTTACATGCTTCCGACATCAAATTTTGTTTGCCTAGAGTTGAAAGATTATCAAGGAATTTGTAGACAGTATTAAAATCTTCAGAATCTTTTAATTCACTAATCTTTGATAAAATTACTGTTTCATTAATTTGAGATTCAAAACAACGAGAATTTTTCTGATTTATATTTCTTGTCCTTAATAAGGAATCATAGAGAGAATTGACAATACTCATGTAGTTAATTGAGTTTGTTATATCTCTGATTTCATTAATAATTTGTTCGCTGCAAAATTCTAAATGAATATTCTCAATCAATTGAGCAAATTCTTCACATTCTTTAGTTAAAGAAATTATAAAAGATGCTAAAGAATCTTCATCATTTATTGTTAGTTTATTATTGCAAAATATTCTCTCGAAAATATTAAAACCAAGTTTCTTTGAAATAGATTTAAGCTGAGTTTCGTCAATTTCAAAGAAATGTGATGAAATAAAATCAGTACATTCTAAAGTCTTTTGCTCGGAATTGATGTCATAATAAAATTCAAGTAATTTAATGCAATTATTTCGATCTAAACACATTTCATTAATAACATACATTTGGTATAAGGATATCAATTCACTCATTTCTAGAGCTATTCCTACATTAAATAAATCATTTAAAACCACTAAATTGCATTCGATTTCCGGTTTTCTGTCTTGTAGGATATATTTTAAAACATCATATGTATGTTTTGATTGTATTCCAGTATGAATTGTAATTTTTGAAATTCGACGATCTAAAACATAATCTCTGTGAATCTTTTGAGAATATGCAACTGCAAAAGCTTTCTGTAACACAATTTCGACGTTATCAATATTCAAAGTAACCTTTTCTTGAGAGTGAAAGTCGCCAATTCTCTGAAGGAATGGGTTATTAATCTGAATTAAAACCATTTTTGGAAATTTGCTGGATTTTTTATTAGAGTTATTGTATGTTAACTTTAGTTATGCTTTTACATATGAAATCAATCCATAATACTTATTGATTTCTATATTTGTCTGATCTAAGTTTTCGAAAAAATTAAATTAAGGTTCTTTTTTTAATTAAGGGGAAAAGTTTGAATAGTTTACAATTTTTCCAATATATGCAATTTTCTCGCTCAATATATTCGTAAATTCGAAAATTATAACAGATATTGTAATAAACAGAAATTCATCAAAAGTGACAGCTCTCAATTTTTTGACATTTGTAAATTCTAAATTGAATGAGAAAAATGAAATAATACTAAGCATAATACAATATTCTAGATTTAATTATAATTAGGAAAAAGTTAGTTTTGAGAGTACTTTTCATAGGCATATAGAATGAAATCTTCTGAAAAATAATATCACATAAACTCATATTATTTTCTAATATATAACTATTTTATATAAAAATCAAATTCAATGATCTTAAAAGCGAAGGATAAATATGATAGATAAGCATTATATTCCCACTCATTATATTCGTAAATTTTGAGGTTTATCCTTCGCTTTTAAGATCATTGAATTTGATTTTTATATAAAATAGTTATATATTAGAAAATAATATGAGTTTATGTGATATTATTTTTCAGAAGATTTTGTGTTCTTCTTCAAAATTTTATTTTTTTATTAAAAAGAATCTTTACAAAATATACATTTACTTTAATTAATATTTAAAAACGTGCTCTATCAAAAGTTCCAAAAATTCAATATTTTAGCTTTTCTGAGGTGTCACTTTTGATGAATTTCTGTTTACAACAATATTGCATTTTTTTCCCTTTGAGATAATATCTGATTTAATAATCTTAGTAATAAATCTTCCCTATATTGAGAAAAAAAATTTAAATTTCGAATTTTGAAAATTAATAACTCATTCTCAGATAAGTTTCTATCTTTGATTCCTATGCCAATATAAAGGAAAATATATAACTTAAAAATGATAGAGACGGAATTTGAATCTTTCGATTTAACGGAATAAGATATAATTATAAAAACAAAAATCTCTTGAATGATAAGCAATAACAAACATTAGAATATTGAATTAGAATATATTTCTATATGAGAATGTCATATATTGCCTAGGCGCATAGATACACTGCACAATAGTCAGATATATGATATTGTTGTTGCAAATCTAATAACTCGCTGAAATACAGGTACTACTCTGTTATTATATGATAGACAAAAAAAAAAAAAAAAAAAAAAAAAAAAAAAGGTAGTGGGGCTTCCAGGCACTTCGTGCCTTCTAGCCCCGAAGATGTTTAGTATAAATGAAGTCTTGACAAAACATTTATGAAGAAGTCTTAACAAAGTCTTTATGAAGAAATCTCAACAAAACATTTACGATGAAGTCTTGACAAAGTCTTTATGAAGAAATCTCAACAAAACATTTACGATGAAGTCTTGACAAAGTCTTTACGAAGAACTCTCAACAAAGTCTTTACGAAGAAGAACTTTACAAAGTCTTTACGAAGAACTCTCAACAAAGTCTTTACGAAGAAGAACTTTACAAAGTCTTTACGATGAACTCTCAACAAAGTCTTTACGAAGAAGAACTTTACAAAACATAGACAAGAAAGTTCATGAGAAAGTCTTTACAAAGTCTTTACGATGAAGAACTTTACAAAACATAGACAAGAAAGTTCATGAGAAAGTCTTTACGATGAAGAACTTTACAAAACATTGACAAGAAAGTTCATGAGAAAGTCTTTATGAAGAAGTCTTGACAAAACATTTACGAAGAAGTCTCAACAAAGTCTTTACGAAGAAGTCTTTACAAAACATCTGTCAAAAACCGCTTTTTAACTTCACTTAAAATGCCACGTAAGCTACGTAAGAATATACGTAAGAGGAAGAGAGCATTGAAACATCCAATAGTAAAACTGACACCACAACAACAGTTGCAACAACAAATGCTGAATGACCCCACTATGTTGCAACAAATGTCAAGCAATCCTATGCTTTTAAACCGAGTTGTTGGTGCACAGAGTGGAGGTTTAAGAGCGGCACTTTTAGCGAAAATGGCAGGCTATGGTGGAGCTGCAGACGGAACAGCCTATAACCCTCAAAGTCAAATGAATTTGAGTTCACTCAAAAATCAAATAACAGATGTCAAAAAGTCAAACATAGACATACAGAAACAAATAAGTGAAAACGAAAAGAAACTAGAATATGACAGACACACAAAGAAACTCAATGAGTTAAACGTAGAGAAAAAGAAGAAAGAAGAACAACTGAAAGAACTAAGTACAGAGGAATATGCGAAAAAAGTGTCAGAAAAAGCAGCAGAAGTAGCAAAAATGGAACAAGATGTTATAAATTTGAAAAACCATACTACTCAATATAAAGTACTGAAAGATGAAGAAATAAAACAAAAAGCCCTGAAGACATATATGGATAGCGATGAGTATAAAAAAGAAGTTGAAGCAAATATAAAGGCAGAAAAACTTTTACAGTTGCAAAACCAAACCGTACAGTATGAAAACTTAGCACAAGAAAGTAAAAATAACGACGCAGCCATGCAAAAGGCAATGAAAAGCGCAGAATATATAAAAGCTAATAATGACTGGTTAGATGCCCAAGCCAACGCCAAAGCAGCCCAACTTATAGGGTCAATAAGGACAAAAATACAAGCGGATGAAGACAGTTCAAATGAAGCTTTAATGAATGCTGACTTTAAGAACGCCTTCGAAGCTCTTCATAGTAAGGTGAAACTAGTGAACGACTTCTCATCTGGAAAGAAACTGAAGTCTGAAGGTTTCGACAAAGAGTTAAAAGAAGTAGCACAAAATATGACGAAAATAACAGATGCAGCAACGAGACAGGCAGTTCAAAGTGCCTATGACGCCGTTAGAGCAACTGTTGTGGAAAGTCAAGAAAAAGAGTTACAACAGACCAAAACAGACCTAGTAAATGCTTTCTTAAGAACGAAAAGTCAGGTAGGACATTACGCTGCAGATGGAACATATGTGCCAGCTGGTGGAACTTATATACCACCAAACCCTCCAAGAGAAGCACCTGCACCAGGACTACCTAGAACATTTACATCGTCACATGGACACAGACACAGGCATGCACCAAAACCAACACAACAACCAACACAACAACCAACACAACAACCAGCACAACAACCACCTCCACAACCAGCACAACAACCAACACAACAACCAGCACAACAACCACCTCCACAACCAGCACAGCAACCACAACCAGAGCAAGGACATAAAAGAAGTAGAGAACAAGGAAACCAAGAATTCTTAAAAATGCTTAAGGAAAATTATGGTTACCCAGATACTCTTGACTTTAGTGACAGATATAAAGAAGCTATTAGAAAGTTCAAGGAAGGAAATACTGACCCGAACCTATTTAGCTTTATGGTTCAGCACCAAATGGGATATAATTTCAAACCTGGAAAATACAAGCTCGCTAAGGGATATGATTTAATAGCATATCATCCAAATGACATGACTGAATTTACTCCGAGATATTTGGTGTCAGAGCTAAATGATAATTCAACTCTCTTCATGAAACGCGTAAAAAATAGAGACGGAACGAAAGAAGAAAGGTTTATGAGTCCGGATGACTTAGATAGGGAACTTTTTAAAAACGGTCTCGGAATATATGAAATGCCAGCAGATGAGGTACAAGAAACTCAACAGGAAGAAGTTCAGATACAACCAGACATGGAAGAAATAGTTCAGCAACAACAGCTAGAAGAGCCTGAAGGAAACGAACAAGTCACTCCTTTGGAAACTAACTTCACAGAACTAGATGAAGATTTGGAACAGCCGAAAAATCTTGACCCTCAACAAGAGTATGCGGAGAATATGGAATATTTCCAAGAGTCTAAAAAAAATTCGGCTGACATAGTAGAAGAATATCGAAAAATGTTTGCCGACATACAAAAGACTCCAACACCAGATGAAAATATTCAGCATAGAATGGAAGTACTGAAAGAAAATGTACACAAATACAACAACCCTTTTTACTTACGAGCATTTAACGTTCAATCTTCGGATGAACTCGGTGAAAATAAAAGGTTAAATTTCAAGAAAACATATAGAAATGAAACATTGTTTAAAGTTCATTCAGAACCTAACCAAGATGGAAACAAACCTACTTTTGTTTCTGCAGACGATGGAACTACAATGAGATGGGGTCATAAAGCTAATCCAGATAGGTGGTTCATAAACTTACAACCACAATTCCAAGAAGTTGTAGACGCAATGGAAGTCAATGGTGAACCAGATATAGCTGGTATTTTAAGCGCGGCTTTAATGCCATTGAAAGATATGAAAGATGCAGATATTTTGGACCAGTATGAAATGAACATGGCTGATGGAAATATAACACCTGACGTTCTAGAACATTTATCTCAAAGAACTACACAGAACCATAGAGATGGTATATTTGGTGAAGAGTTTAGAAAGAAAGTTAGGGAGAGCGAAGGAAGAGAACCTATTGTACATGACCTTGCAAACGAAAGTTTACAAAATGTCATAAAAACTTACTTTGCAGACAATGAACCGAGAAGGGATGAATATTTAAGAAAACTCAAATGGACAGTACCAAATGAAATGTTAGTATTGAAAAACATGTTCCTTGACAAAATAAAACCAACTACAGAAATAAACGACGCAAGACTGAAAGATTGGGTAAAAGCTTTCCCATTCACAAAAGATATTGTTGGTAACATGGAAAGAAAACCAGAATGGCTACAAAAACATATATTTGGAAACGAGCATATTCCATATGGACAGGCACTGTTTGAAGAGCTTGAACCAAAACTCAGGAAAGAGTCATGCAACAATACGCGAAGACTCAAATACAGACTATGACAAACTCTTTTCTAGGATATAGGTTACCTGAGATGGGCGACCAGAGCCAAAAGGCAAAAAGGACATGGGAAATTTGCAACATACTAGATGAAC